TGAAAATGAAAAGAAAACAACTTTCAACTGATTTAGAATTTAGCAGAATATTGTATTTATTATTTTGTAGGAAAAACACTCAAAAGTTATTTAAATTCTATGAGATATTTATTACATAACGTTGAACTTTTCTGGAGTATTTTCAAAATTAATATAGAAACGGAAATTATAATTTACTGCACCATCTATGTGTCGAATAATACACTAACAAGTCATGATGACACAAAAATGAACTGCTTTTGGAAATTAGTTTTAAAACACAGAGTGCATCACATAGCTTTAAAGTAGAGTTCTATAAATCGACTTTCGAATAATCGAACAATCGACTTTTTGTCGAAAAAAGTCGAAGTCGACTATTTTGTTCCAAAAAGGTCGATAACTCGACTATCGTCTGTCGACTTTGTGAATAAAAGTCGAAAAAAGTCGAAAAGTCTGAAAGTCGAAAAGTCGAAAAAAGTCGATAAGTCGAAAAAAGTCGATAAGTCGAAAAAAGTTGAAAAAAGTCGAAGAAAGTCGAAAAAAGTCGAGAAGTCGTAAAAAGTCGAAAAAAGTCGAAAAGTCGGAAAAAGTCGAAAAATCGAAAATTGTAGAAACAAGTCAAAAATAGTCAAAAATTTTAAAAAAGTGGAAAAAAGTCAAAAACTCTAAAATAGTCGGAAAAACTCGAAAAAAGTCAAAAAATAGTCGGAAAAAAGTAGAAAGAAGTCGAAAATAGTCAAAAAGTCGAAAAAATCGAAAAGTCGAAAAAATCGAAAAGTCGAAAAAGTCGAAAAAAGTCGAAAAGTCGAAAAAAAGTCGAAAAGTCGAAAAGTCGAAAAAAGTCGGAAAAAGTCGAAAAGTCGACTATTTATAAAATACTTATAGCCGAAAAGTCTAAAAGTCGACCTTTATTTAAATGAAAAAAGTCGAAAAGTCTAAAAATCGACTTTTCATAAAATGCAAAAAGTCGAAAAGTCGACTTTTAACTAAATGAAAAAGTCGAAAAGTCGACTTTTCGTTTCAACTATAGAACCCTACTTTAAAACAATAAATTGATTTGTGGTTTTTATAAATCAAATTAATATTAATTGGCAACATTGAAACATTGATTCAAATATTTTATGACTCACTCTGTTTACATCAACAATTGTTTTATTATACCCTACATCATTTTATAGGAGGCATAATGATTCCTGCTGAAGTTTGTTATTCCTAGAACTGTGTAGTTTATACCTACTTAAATACCCATGTAACAAACTGTTTAAAGACGGCCCAATTAATATCATACAAATATCCCTCAAAACTAGAAAACTCCATAAAAATAAGATTTATGGGCGTATACATATTAAAACTTACATTTTATGCTTACCCCTGACAAAAGTCCGCACACATGTAATGAATACTTCGCAAAAGGTCTAGGACTTGAACCACTTAACATTGTCATGTCCTAGATGAGGTCGTCGTTATCAGGAATCTGATACACCAATAATGTTTGCAAGAGCTTTGTAGAGTCAATCTGTTTTAAATAAACATCTGCTTTAAAAGTTTTTCAATTTCATCACAAAACGAAAGAGTTTTTAAAATACCCACCGGGCTGCTTCAAACTTTCAATATCTACAACATTTTTTCACAAAATGGAAACAACTATTAATAAAGAATTAAATAATTTAAATTTAAACAATTCCAAAGAACTAATGGACTCCACTGGTGTACCCTACATTAATAATGTCTTAAAACAAAAATATCCACCCAAACACCAGTGGAAGATTACGAGTATAATATGATAGCTGAGATGAACTATGAATATGCGGATGATGATGAATTTGCCAAATATGGCTGTTGGAATACATTTGCCCAGGCCCGAATGATAGTGTGGAAACTTTTGTTTGATGAACCCACATTATCCACTGAAAATTTTAATAAAGCCGCTGAACTTTTAGAATACCATAGACGTGATGCTTTAATGTTATCACTTCGGGATTATAATCTTTGTATACCCACCGTTAGGGATGAACTTTTAAAAAGAAACTATTTAGACTTTTGGCAAAAGATAATAGTAAACAAAGAATTAGGTTTATGCTGTGGCACTGATGCAAAATTTGATGATAATAAGTTGGATGGTAAGGATCCCGATAAATTTTATAATGCAGGAAAGGATTTCATCAATCGGTAAACAAACTAATTTTTATTATACATGGAATCTCTGTAAATTTATGCAAATTTAGGTATTAATGAAGAAATTGTTTAATAAACTATTTTTACACAATTTTTTTAAATTCTTTGAAATTACAGTTTTTATTAATTAAACAATTTTATTTTTACATTATTACATTTTTATACCCTCCACCACCATCAGTGGTGATAGAGGGTATATGTATATAACTTTGTCATTCCGTGTGTAACACCAAGAAATATTCATCTGAGACCCAACAAAGTATATATATTCTGGGTCCTTATGAAATTCTGAGTCGATTTAGCTATGTCCGTCTGTCCGTCCGTCCGTCCGTCTGTCTGTCTGTGTAAAACACGCTCACGTTAAAACGAAGCAATATAATTTAACCAAATTCACCCAAAATATTCATTATTATCCGGTACAGTTTGGTATTGAAAATGAGCAATATCGGTTCACATCGGGAAAAGTTATGAATCAAAATTTAAAACAACCTCGAAAAAAATAAGCATTTTTTTCACATTCTAATGTAATTTTCTCCAAAACTATGCAAGATAATTCCATGAAAATCACCACACATTCGTTTCTACACAAGATCTTGATCCGTGCAGAAAATTGCTAGAATCGGTCCACAATTTCATATACCTCCCATACAAAAGTACATATTCCCGGAAAATGGGTTTTTTGCTAATAACTACCGTCACAATGAAGATATCTTCACAAAATTTTTCAGATTAAAATGTTTTGTCAATAGAATTCATTCAGAGAAAAAATTTTCTGGATCGGTCCATAATTGGACATAGCTCCCATACAAGGTCCCCTCTCGAAAATAACTTAAACGTGCATAACTCATTACTAAATTAAGATATCCATATAAACTTTGGTACAAGTATTGCCCGTATGCCTAGAAATATTGCTGTGAAAGTTTCCTCCGATCGGTCTAAAATTGGTCATAGCTCCCATAAAAGGTCCCCTCCCGAAAATCACTTAAACGCGCATAACTCATTACAAAATTAGGATATCCATATAAAATTTGGTACAAGTATTACTCATATGCACAGAAATATTACTGAGAAATTTTTTTCCGATCGGTCCATAATTGGTCATAGCTCCCATACAAGGTCCCCTCCCGAAAATCACTTAAACGCGCATAACTCATTACTTAAATAAGATATCCATATCAAATTTGGTACAAGTATTGCCCATATGCATAGAAATATTACTAATAAAGTTCTTTCCGATCGGTCCATAATTGGTCATAGCTCCCATACAAGGTCCCCTCCCAAAAATCACTTAAACGTGCATAACTCATTACTAAATTAAGATATCCATATACAATTTGGTACAAATATTACTCATATGCACAGAAGTATTACTGTGAATTTTTTTTCCGATCGGTCCATAATTGGTCATAGCTCCCATACAAGGTCCCCTCCCGAAAATCACTTAAACGCGCATAACTCATTTCTTAATTAAGATATCCATATAAAATTTGGTAGAAGTATTACTCGTATGTACAGAAATATTACTGAGAATTTTTTTTCCGATCGGTCCATAATTGGTCATAGCTCCCATACAAGGTCCCCTCCCGAAAATCACTTAAACGCGCATAACTCATTACTTAAATAAGATATCCATATCAAATTTGGTACAAGTATTGCCCATATGCATGGAAATATTACTGTGAAAGTTTTTTCCGATCGGTCCATAATTGGTCATAGCTCCCATACAAGGTCCCCTCCCGAAAATCACTTAAACGCGCATAACTCATTACTAAATTAAGATATCAATATAAGATTTGGCACAAGTATTACTCATATGCACAGAAATATTACTGTGAAAATTTTTTTCGATCGGTCCATAATTGGTCATAGCTCCCATACAAGGTCCCCTCCCGAAAATCACTTAAACGCGCATAACTCATTACTAAATTAAGATATCAATATAAGATTTGGCACAAGTATTACTCATATGCACAGAAATATTACTGTGAAAATTTTTTTCGATCGGTCCATAATTGGTCATAGCTCCCATACAAGTTCCCCTCCCGAAAATCACTTAAACGCACATAACTCATTACTAAATTAAGATATCCATATAAAGTTTGGCAGAAATATTGCTCATATATAGAGAAATATTACTGTGAAATTGTTTTCCTATCGATCCATAATTGATCATAGCTCCCATACAAGGTCCCTTTCAGAAAAATACTTAAAGGCACATAACTCATTACCAAATAATGATATAAATAAATACTATTTTTGTTCATAAATACTATTTTGTAATGCAAAAAGCACTTAATGCTATTTCAAAAACTTTTCACGATCGGTCTATATTTGGTCATATCTCTCATACTAGGTTCTGCCCCTAAAAGCGCTTTAACCGTATTTAACTATTTGCATTATCAATTTGTGTAGAATAAAATTATATATATGTATGTATTTTTAAAATCCTTAAATCTTTCACACACATGCATACATGCAAATACGAGATATCGCTAAAGCATATCTTAGGGCGCTATAAAAATTTAAATGAAAGTGGCGTTTCTAATGTTCAATAAATCTTGGAATTGTAGTAGATTTAAGCTGTTTAAATCTTGGGATTTTTCTATTTAAGACATGAGAAAACTTATTTCTACAAATATTTTATTAATTAGAAATGTATTAATACAAAAGTTGCTGGTGGAGGGTATTTAAGATTCGGCTCAGCCGAATATAGCACTCTAACTTGTTTTATCTAAAGTTATTAAATTTACATTCAATATAAATAATATATTTGTTTTCACATTAATTCTTATCAAATTATACCTCAAGTACCACATATTTCCTAACACTGTCTTACAAATATGTACTATAAACTCTACTGTTGTTCGATAAATTCCTCCATCACTTTATAAAATTCTTCAGGATCCTTACCATCCAACATATCATCAGCAAATTTTGCATCTGTTCCGCAACATAATCCCAATTGTTTTTCTACTATAACATTTTGCCAAAAATCAAAATATTTTCTTTTCAAAAGTTCATCTTTTACTGTGGGTATCCAAAGATTATAGTCTCTAGGCGCTATCATTAATGCATCACATCTGTAGTCTTCTAAAAGTTGGGATGCTTTATTACAGTTTTCTGCTGTTAAGGTTTTTTCGTTAAACAAAAGTTTCCATACTGTATTGCGAGCCTGGGCAAATGTATACCAATAGCCATATTTTACAAATTCATCATCATCAATGTATTCATAATCCGTTTCAGCCACCATATTATGGTCGTAATCTTCTAGTGGTGTTTGGTTTGATATTTGTTTCAAGTTTTGGTTGATAAAAGGTACAGCTGTAGAGTCCATTAGTTCTTTGGAATTGTTTAAATTTAAATTATTAAATTCTTTATTAATAGAAGACTCCATTTTATAAAGGAATGTTGTAGATGATTTCAAAATTGTTTTCGTTTTGTGATGAAAATATTAAACGGAAGAAGTGCAGCGCAAAATTGAAAAACTTCAAAACAGATGTTTTATCGTAACAGACTGATTCATGTGAAATATTAGAAGAATAAATACTGTTGAGCAAGTTGTCAAATATAATAGACAAATTTTAATGAAAATGCTTTAACTGATCTTGTTATAATAGCAGTTAAATTCAAACTGAACAACAATATTCTATAAATTTCGATCATTTCAACTGATTTCAACATTTGTTGACAAAATTTGCAAACAAAGTCAAGTTTAATTTCATTAGCAACACTCTTCTCTTGCTCAACAACAGGGTAATTGATAAATTCATTAGTTTTATAAACGTCGTAGTACTATTTGAATTATAACGGTTATTTCAGGAAATTTGCATAAAATGATGTCATGATTTCTTCTAATAATTATTTAAACAGCTGAAAATGTTTGCTTTTAGTTTTAAACAACAGATATATTATATATTTTACTGATTCATCCCACATTATTAATATTTATTAGAGCTAAAAGTAAATATTTCTAAGAATAATACAATTCTAATGTTTAGTAAGAAAATATTGTCAGACTTAAAACACATTTTATCTTATTGATTCATTTATTACAACAAAAACGAAATCGTTCCTTTTAAAAATAAACAATTTTATTGTTAATATCAATATGTAGTAGATGTATAAAATACGTATGGGTATACAAGATAATAGGCGTTTTCTATAACTAGATTCACAAGAAATAACAAATAATCTTAAACTATTTCTTCTGCTGTTTGATGAAATCCTCTCCAACTTTATAAAATTCTATTGGCCTTTTATCTTCCATATCATCGAAATAATCCGAGTCACGTGCCCAGCATAAACCCAATTCTTTCTTCACTATTACATCTTGCCAGAAGTCGAAATACTTTCGTTTCAAAAGCTCATCTCTTACGGTGGGAATCCAATCATTGTAATCCCAAGGACAATAGAAACAAGCATCACTTTTATATAGCTCCAAAAGCTCAGCTGCTTTTTTACTATTCTCTGCTGTTAAGGAGCCTTCATCAAACAGTAGCTGCCATATCATTTGTCTAGCTTCGGCAAATATTTGTTTATAGGCTTCTTCATCATCGCCATCAATTTCTCCCTGAGCTTCCACATTATGTTTGTAATCTTCTACCGGTGTCTCTATGCTTAGCTTCTTTAAAGTTTTATCAGTTTTTGGTGATTCCTTGTGGAGAAGTGATGTGGCCAATAAGTCGGATACATTAGGAACTGTAGATTGAGATTTATTTTTCAACCAGGGAGCTTCGCAGTCTGCAAACTTATAAAAATTAGCCGGTTCTGGATCTTCTACATCATCGAACAGATCCGAATCTCTGGCCCAGCAGGGACCTAATTCTTTTTGTACTACAACATTTTTCCAAAATTCCAACATTTTACGTTTTAATAGTTCATCTCTTACTCTCACAATCCAATTATTATAGTCGGAGGCTTGATAGAAACAGGCGTCCTCTTTGTGCATTTTCAGTAATTCCGCTGCCTTTTCCAATTGCTCTTTTTGCGCGCAGCTCTCCCCAGCTTCGAATAGCAATTTCCATACAGTCTCCCTAGTTGCGGCCGAAATTTTTTTCCAGCATTCATCATACACATCATTGGGCATTATTACGTCAGCTTTCATTTTATCATCCATCAATTTGACATAATCCGTCACTGGATTGTTGAGGGAGATTTTTGCCTCGAAATTTGCAAATTCTGCATCAACTCTTGTTGCCATTTTTCTTCCAATTAATGCTGCTGCCGGTCTCACTGGTTCAATTGTTTGGTTTATTTTGAAATGCTGATAAAATTCTACAAATGATTTCGTTTGCTTAAAACGCAAAAGAGAAGAGAACATTACAAAAAGTAATAGAAATAGGAAAATAGAAGAAGAAAACAAAACAGTTGCCAAAATAGGAATAACAGGGTGATTCATGAAATATTAGTGAGAATTTAAACAGTGCTGTTAAACATTCCACTTGTATAATAACACAAATAAATATGAGAAATTCTTAAAATTTTACGAAATACTTATATATTTTTATTGTTAAAAACAAAAAAACATAATATGTATTAAAATATAGTTTCATAATTCCATTTAAATTTATAATTATAAGTAATTTTAGAAAATTTCTTAAAAATGTTTATTATTTAAGTAATACCAGCTCTGCATAAACAGCTGAAAAGAGAGATAGAAAAACAAACTGTCATTTCTATAATCTGGCAATACTTGCTTTGTTTTTAAATGTTTTTTCTGCACAATTTCACAATATTTTTTATTTACACTTTTTAAACATAAAGTTTAATTGGAATACAATCCAGCAATGGCTTATAATAAGGTAAATAATATATTATACATAAAATATAATTAGTTATTAATTTCGAATTTGTGCTAAATTGCTAGACATACATATTGGCTATGAAACGTAAAAAGCCGCCAGAGTACTTCCATAATTTTTAGTCCGCCACAAAATAAGTTGAAATTGTTGTTTGGGAACGTGCCACAAGACCGACCGATAGCGAAAATTTAACATACAAATGTGTTATTAAATATATGCAGAAATTTCTTCGACAGAAGATAAAACGCACGATTAAATGATGTCCTATCGTTTAGGACTACATTCGGGTAATTATCAGTAAGACTGGACTGTAGTCCATTATGTACTATAATGTAGAATATAGTTGAGACAAAAGACTAGAATATAGTCCACACTATATCCAGGGTAATCTAATGCCTGAACTATAGTTAGTTAGGCAGTGTCTGTTGATTCATATAACTCTTCTCTGACAAACCGGAACACTTACTACTAACCTTTCAGAGGCCCTAGCCCTAGCAAAACTACAAAATTATACATTGACCTTTCAAGATATACATATTTCTAACATTCTACATTCTTTACCCTTTCAGGAATATATGATATTTGTTCTCGATGTTCGTCAAAGCACCCCGGAGGAATTTAAACAAAACTCGATAAAATGCTGTTCAGAAATTATGAAACGCAAAGTAAGTTTTATACACCACTCCTACTGTCTTTATCTATTACATTCCAACTAAACTTTCTTCACAGATATGTACCGCTAAAAAGGATTTTATGTCCTTTGTTTTGGTGGGTACTCAGCGTACTTTTAATGATGTCAATACAAATGTATGTCACGATGGCTATTTAAATGTCACTCAATATGTTGGAGAAATGGAAATACCTTCTTGGCAATTATTAATGAATTTCTATCAGTTTGTCAATGAAACAGCAACGGATAAAGGTGAATGGTTGGATGCCTTAGTAGTGGCTTTTAGTATGTTGAAAGCTGGCTCGGAGTATGTTTTGTTCTGAAGGGATTTTGAGTTAGTTTAATTATAATTATAAATTATTGCAGAAATAAGAAAGTACAACGTTTAAGATTGGTGTTATTTTATGATTTCAATGATGGTCTTAATTCTTACGATTGCTTTGAGGATGTCACCAAAAGTCTGCTGGAACACAATGTAGACTTGATAGTTGTGTAAGTGTTATATATATAAAATTGTTAATTTCTATTTAAATTTATACATCACTATTACTTTTTTTCCAGTTCACCTAACATTGCTTATATTGATAATGAAGCCAATGACTTTTTACCACAAGCCATATTTAATTCGGGCAAAAGATCACAACAACAAGTTGAAAATGAAAAATATGCTTTGCGTCTCGTATCCGAATGCAATGCAAAATTAAGTAATATAAAGCAGGCGGAATTTTTTATATCTAAAAGTGATAATAAACGTCCTTGGACCTGGAATAGTGAATTACGTATTGGCACAAAAATTAACATTAGAGTAACCGGTATAATTGCGGCCAAAAATGAATGTACCATCAAATTGAAAAAGGTGTGGAATGAAGCAGATGAGGTACTCATACGTGAATGGGGTTATTCTATTAATGGTAATAGAATTACACCAAATGAGGATGATTTAATGGAAGGTTATATGTTGGGTGGCACTCCCATACCTTATGATGAAGCGGCTAATGATGATAAAATTAAACTACCGCCCGGTTTAACATTTATGGGTTTTATACCACGTAAATCGGTGTATGATGAATATTACAGTGGCGATACTGTGTATATGATTATACACAAACGTGATGATACTAGATCGGCGAAAATAATGAATGCTTTAGTAAGGGTACTGTTGAAAGCCGAAAGAGCTATATTGTGTTGGAAAGTATACAGTGAAAAGTTTAATAGACCAAAGATGGTGATTTTGATGCCAAATGAGGTAAGTCCAAGATTTATATATATTTTTAAAACAATAAAACTCAATAAAATATAATCTGCCCTAGAGATACCTTGATTAAAACGTAAAGGGGTACAAATATAGAAATTTCCCAAATTCCAACAACAAATCATTATTACAAAATAAACCTAAATCAATGTGATTTTATTATTCTATATAAATCCCTCTCTTTGCAATTCAAAAACCATAATTTTTTATTTTATTCCTAACTCTTTCTATATGTTTCAGATCAAAGATGACAGCCCCGCCTCATTTTACATGTACGAAGTGGCTTACTATGAACAATATCATTTCTTTGAGTTTCCTAAATTGGCATCGAAAAAAAGTGAATGCTCTAAGGAGCAATTAGATGCCATTGATAACCTAATCGATAGTATGGACTTAACCATAGAATCGAAGGATTCTCAAACACCCAGAGAGACACAAGAGAAAGATTTGCTGCCGTTTAATAATCTACCTCATATTTTCGAGAAGAATTTCATGGATTTAATGGAACGTAAAATTCTTTGTAAAGCCAGTGAAGATGATGAATTCTTTGAAGAGATATTAAAAGATAAAAGTTTTGCCGAAATCTTTTGGAAAGTACCCGAACAAATTGAGGAAAAGGCAAAAGATGCTGCCAAAGAGGTAAAACGCGTATTTCCCTTGAAAATAAGTGATGATTGGTTGGAGAAAGCTAAAGCTGAGGAAAAGATTAAAATGGCGCGTCTAACACAAACATTCGATGAAGAGGCCTCCATCTCGGCTAGTCAACTAGCATTTGATCATGTACGTTCCGCCACTCCAGCTGAAGACTTTGAACAGTTACTTAAAGCCTGTGTATTTACCATCAAGAATAGTACACAGCGTGATGTTAAATTTAATCATTATGCCTCACAAATGCGTGCCGTTATCAGAGATCTGATATTTAAACCCAAATCATTTGCCGAAATAAATGTGGACAAAATCGTTGCGGCACTGAATGTGTATCGCAAGCGTTGTTTTATCTTTAATGCATTCGATGATTATAACACATGGATTTCATCGATAAAAACCGAAGTTGTTAATCGTCGTATGGCCAAATTTTGGCATGAAGTTATTGTACGCCATGAGTTGGGTTTGTGTTTTATAGGTGAAACGTCGCTGGATGAACAGATTAAGGAAAAGGAATTCTATAGTTTGGAATTTAGTGATAGTGAAGTATCTGCTAGTAATGTTGAAGCAGCACGTTTGGAAATGGATGATTCCGATATGGATAATTTGCTGGCAAATTTACCTTAAAATAAGTAACGTTTTTTTTTTATACTTTCTTTTGTATATTTAATAAAATTATATAAATATTATTGGATGGAATTTTTAATCAATGTATAATATAGTCCATACTTTACTATAACTAATAATCTAGCCTACAGTCCAGTCCATATATACAATACTGCAGTCTAAGATATAGCCGAGGCAGAGTATAGTTGAGTTTGTAGTTCAGATTATAGTCTAATCTACAGTCTATTCTATAGTCCAGACTATAGTCTAATAACTTAAGTCTAATCTATTGTCCAGACTATAGTCTAATCTATAGTCCAGACTATAGTCTAGTATCTAGTCAAGACTATGGTCTATTCTATAATCCAGACTATAGTCTAATCTATAGTCCAGACTATAGTGTAGTATCTAGTCAAGACTATGGTCTATTCTATAATCCACACTATAGTCTAACCTATGTTCCAGACTGTAGTTTAGTCTGATCTATATTCCAGACTATAGTCTATTCCCTTATCTAGTCTACAGACCAGACTATAGTCTAGTCTACAGTTTAGAGTCTAAACTTTAAACTATAGTCCAGATTATAGTCCAGACTATAGTCTTGTCTATAGTAAGACTAAAGTCTTCTCTGTAGTCCATTCAATCGATTTTTGGTAGGAAATAAAAGTGATCACAGATTTTCATCCTTTGGGACTCTAGTTTCAAAAGACGCTCTATTTAAAGTAAAATCAGTTTTGCATCCTCTATAGATGCTCAATGTTTTAGCATAATCTTAACTACTGTTTAGCAACTATAGATTTGTTTCTAAACTCTAACCCCTCTCGTTAAATAATGTTAAAATGTAACGTCTTTATTTAAAAGCAAATTCTGGCATCATTCATTTTATTAACTCGCAGTGTTGCCTTATTTTGAAATTAACTTTTAAATTTGACATTTACATTATAGTACATATGGCAACGTTATAGATAATTTTCAAGGTAAATGTAAATTTTTTTCCAACAAATACCGTGTGTACACGGTTCACGATAAAAATACTCAAAAAATAGAAATGAAATTTCAATAGCTGCTGTTGGTACATAAAAATTTATTAAAAATAGTGCTAATTAATAGTGAAAAAGTAATATATTAATTAATAAGTAAATAAATAATTCATAAAATAAAATGCAAACAAAGGAAAAAAACTATAACTATAAAAACAACCAAGTTAAAGAAAATTGTAGATGAAAAAGAAAAGCAAATAACAGTTAAAAAGAAAAAGCAATAATTCAATATAAAAACAACAGCTGTTTTGTTAAGAGGTACCTTGATTACAAACAAAAAGGAAAACTAATAAAAAACAAAAAAAAACAAAAAAAAAACTCACCCTCGCGCGTGGCAATAAAATAACAACAATAATGATAAAGAATATTTCTTTAAAGAAAGAAAATAGAAAATGTGTTAGATTATCCAAAAATAACTAAGGTTTTTGTTATTGTTATTTAGATGGTAATGTCCATTGTGTGTTAAGTAATTTAAAGCAAATTTATTTTTCCTTTTCAAAAAAGGCATTATTTCTTCCGCATTCGTACAATTGCCAACAGAACCTAAGGTTGTTGTTTAAATAAAATACTTACAAAAATATTAACAAAATAAAGCTAAATTCCTATTCATACAAAGTATTTGGTCTATATACAAAGCCAGACATTTAAAGAATTAAAAGAATTAATAAAGAAAAAGTGTGCAATATTTTACATTTCTAAGAATTTAACAAATTTTCAGTCACATGAATTTTTTGATCATTCAGACGAAATAAAAATAAAATTAAAAAAAAAAAACAAAAGCTGCTAAATAAATTCTCAAAATAAAAGATACACACTCAGCTATAATAAACAAAAAAAAAAACACTATTTTACAACAAAAATATTCAAAATTTACTTGCAACAACAACTACAAAACGTTAATGAATTTTGTGTTTGTTGTTGCTTTTTAATTAAATACAAAATTTTATTTGGCCAGGTATGGAAATTTGAAATTTAAAATGTTTGTAAGTTTAGTTCTTGTTTAGTTCTAAATTCAGTTCTAGTTCAGTTCTATTACATTTCTAGTTCAGTTCTATTTCAGTTCTCTAGTTCAGTTCTAGCTCAAGTCTAGTTCAGTTCTAGTTGAGTTTAGTTCAGTTCTTGTTCAGGATTCTAGTCCAATTCCAAGTTAAGTTCTGTCTAGTTTCCAGTTCTCGTTCAATTTTGATTCAGATCTAGTGTAGTTAGTTCTAAGTTCAGTTCTAGTTCAGTTCTAAGTTCAGCTCTAGTTCTAGGTCTAGTTCAGTTCATTCTAGTTCAGTGTCTAGTTCATATCCTAGTTCAGTTCTAGTTCAGTTCTATGCATTTCATGTTCTTCAAGTTCTAGTTCAGTTCTAGTTCAGTTCTAGTTCAGTTCTAGTTCAGTTTCTAGTTCAAGTTCGAGTCATTCAGTTTCAGTTCTAGTTCATAGAAGTTCAGTTCTAGTTCAGTTCTAGTTCAGTTCTAAGTTCAGTTTCTAGTTCAGTTTCTAGTTCAGTTCTAGTTCAGTTCTAGTTCAGTTCTAGTTCAGTTCTAGTTCAGTTCTAGTTCAGTTCAGTTCTAGTTCAGTTCTAGTTCAGTTCTAGTTCAGTTCTAGTTCAGTTAGTTCTAGTTCAGTTCAGTTCAGTTCAGTTCTAGTTCTAGTTCTAGTTCTAGTTCTAGTTCAGTTCTAGTTCAGTTCTAGTTCAGTTCTAGTTCAGTTCTAGTTCAGTTCTAGTTCAGTTCTAGTTCAGTTCTAGTTCAGTTCTAGTTCAGTTCTAGTTCAGTTCTAGTTCAGTTCTAGTTCAGTTCTAGTTCAGTTCTAGTTCAGTTCTAGTTCAGTTCTAGTTAATTTCTAGTTCAGTTCTAGTTCAGTTCTAGTTCAGTTCTAGTTCAGTTCTAGTTCAGTTCTAGTTCAGTTCTAGTTCAGTTCTAGTTCAGTTCTAGTTCAGTTCTAGTTCAGTTCTAGTTCAGTTCTAGTTCAGTTCTAGTTCAGTTCTAGTTCAGTTCTAGTTCAGTTCTAGTTCAGTTCTAGTTCAGTTCTAGTTCAGTTCTAGTTCAGTTCTAGTTCAGCTTCTAGTTCAGTTCTAGTTCAGTTCTAGTTCAGTTCTAGTTCAGTTCTAGGTTCAGTTCTAGTTCAGTTCTAGTTCAGTTCTAGTTCAGTTCTAGTTCAGTTCTAGTTTCAGTTCTAGTTCAGTTCTAGTTCAGTTCGAGTTCAGTTCTAGTTCAGTTTATAGTTCAGTTCTAGTTCAGTTCTAGTCATTCTAGTTCAGTTCTAGTTCAGTTCTAGTTTCAGTTCTAGTTCAGTTCTAGTTCAGTTCTAGTTCAGTTCTAGTTCAGTTAGTTCAGTTTCTAGGTCAGTCTAGTTCAGTTCTAGTTCAGTTCTAGTTCAGTTCTAGTTCAGTTCTAGTTCAGTTCTAGTTCAGTTCTAGTTAACAGTTCTAGTTCAGTTCTAGTTCAGTTCTAGTTCAGTTCTAGTCAGTTCTAGTTCAGTTCTAGTTCTATAACAGTTCTCGTAACAGTTCGAACAGTTCTAGTTCTAGTTCAGTTCTAGTTCTAGTTCTAGTTCAGTTCTAGTTCTAGTTCTTAGTTCAGTTCTAGTTCAGTTCAAGTTAGTTCTAGTCAGTTTCTAGTTCAGTTCTAGTTCAGTTCTAGTTCAGTTCTAGTTCAGTTCTAGTTCAGTTCTAGTTCATTTCTAGTTCAGTTCTAGTTCAGTTCTAGTTCAGTTCTAGTTCAGTTCTAGTTCAGTTCTAGTTCAGTTCTAGTTCAGTTCTAGTTCAGTTCTAGTTCAGTTCTAGTTCAGTTCTAGTTCAGTTCTAGTTCAGTTCTAGTTCAGTTCTAGTTCAGTTCTAGTTCAGTTCTAGTTCAGTTCTAGTTCAGTTCTAGTTCAGTTCTAGTTCAGTTCTAGTTCAGTTCTAGTTCAGTTCTAGTTCTAGTTCAGTTCTAGTTCAGTTCTAGTTCTAGTTCTAGTTCAGTTCTAGTTCAGTTCTAGTTCTAGTTCAGTTCTAGTTCAGTTCAAGTTCTAGTTCTAGTTCAGTTCAAGTACAGTTCTAGTGCAGTTCTAGTTCAGTTCTAGTTCAGTTCTAGTTCAGTTCTAGTTCAGTTCTTGTTCAGTTCTAGTTCAGTTCTAGTTCAGTTCTAGTTCAGTTCTAGTTCTTCTAGTTCAGCTCTAGTTCAGTTCTAGTTCAGTTCTAGTTCAGTTCTATTTCTGTTCTACTTCAGTTCTAGTTCATTTCTAGTTAAGTTCTAGTTCATTTCTACTTCATATCTAGTTTAGTTCTAGTTCAGTTCTAGCAAAGTATATTTATTGTTGTATTTAATATTCTTTGGTTCTAGTTTCGTTATAGTTTAGTTCTGCTGTACCTATTGTTCTATTTCAAAAATAATTGCAATAGCACTCAATTTTCCATACCTGATTTGCCGCCTTGACGTTGTGTTATGTCCTCTCTCTCTAACACCACTCTCCCACCCCATTTACATACAAGTTCTTATTTGACGAAATAATCAAATAAAATTTTATTATCGCATTATAAATAAACTAACAAAAGGAAAAATATATAAATTATATTAATACATCACACTTGGCTATATTGTTTTTTAATATATCGTCAAAAAGTCTGTGAATTTAAAGGAGCAAAGTGCAATCAATAGCAAAGAAAAAGTAAAAAATAAACAAAAAGTGAAAAAGGAAAACACAACCTACTACTACACACGCACCTGTATACATTTGCATATGTAACCGTTATTTTCAACGTGATAATCACACAACAAATAAGTAAGTTTCATAATGATATTATATGATTCATTGTTTATTCTATTACATAGTTTAAAAATAGTTGTTGACGATGTGTTTTTTTTTGTGAAAAAAGTATAAGAATGGTAACGGTGTTATGTGATTTATTTTAGCAGCCATGTTAAGTAATAATTGATTGATTAATTGGTCTGACATTTGTAACAAATAAACGTTTTTGAGTTTGTGAATTCAGTGTAAACTATGTTAACAATGTACAGGTCACAAATTGTAAGGTAAATAAATAAATTCATACATTTTTACTTGTGGTTATTGT